GCGGCCTTGGCACCTGGCGGCCTCGGCCGAGATGCGCGCGACGACGCGCCTCAACAGTGGTGGCGTCGTGCATGGAGGACAGGCTAGGCTGGCTGCGGCGCGTCCGCGGTGGCGTGCTTCGCGACTAAAGGTTGTGCATGCCAGCGGAGACCATGAACGCCGTCACCCAGGTGGTGAGGCTGAATGCCGCACGAATGACAGGGGCGCCTGGAGGACACGCTGGCTGCGGCGCGGCCTAGGCGGCGTGCTAGTGCCACTCAAAGGCCTCACAACCTGGAGGACGCCAAGCACGCCTCAACGGTGGTGGCGGCGCGCCTGGAGGACATGCTGGCGGCGTGCTTGCGTGACTCAAAGGCTCTACAACCTGGAGGACGCCAAGCACGCCTCAACCGTACGCTACCTGCGGCGCGGCCTATTCGGCGTGCTTGAACGACTCAAGGGCCTCACAACCTGGAGTACGCCAAGCTCACCGCAACCGTGACTGCGCGGTCTGCCTGGGACTGGTTGCGCATTTTTTCATAGTGACGGAACCTTCCGGCCAAGAGTACAGAGCCTAGATGGCTCTCTAGCTTAGAGGCAGCCTGTCACCTGGTTTTAAGCCTTCGAAATTTTTCATAGTGTCCACAGTGACGTCAAGGCAGCATATTTCTGCCCCTACGTTTTTAAAACAATTTTTAGAATTTTTTTATAATTGTTTGATAATTTTTAAAAAATATTTAGGTCAACTTCTATCAAAACTTTGGGAGTTCTGCTTCAGACATAACTTTAGATCCACATAACCGTTTATCCACATAATTGTTGACAGACATAACTGGCTACAGACATAACTGGTGTCAGACATAAAAGAGGATTAATTGTGTTTAAAAACTGTAAACACACATAACTTTACTCCTCTGACAGTATTTTCTATTTCTTTACCTATAATTTATTAAAAATTAGGTGATACTTAATATATTTTATATGTAATATATGTATTATAATTTTATCTTAGGGGGGACACAATAATACGGGGGACGGAAAAAATGGTGGACAGATATAGCCATCCCGAAATGAAAGTGATTTTCATGATTGGCACTCCAAAAACTGCAAGAATTAATGTGAGATTCAATTGAAAAATATTGATATTGAATTGATTAATAACGGATAGAGTATGGGTCTGGGTTCATGGATCACCCCATGTCGTCACCCTAATGCGAAACCAATGCGATTCCTCAGTCGAGTAACATTCCATTGAATCGCTTAATTGGCTAATCGTCTGCTTGAGTCACTACTCGATATATCTGTTTCTTCAAACTAATGAATTTACAAATTTATTAGTTATATTTGAGTAGCCTTTTGTCATTCTTTCATTTTAAACCAGTGAATTAAACAATATAGACTGGAATATGTAACCATAGGTTTTATTAAGTGAATCAGTTTAGGGCAGGCTGATCTGAAGCATAAGACGGAGACCAAGTTTTGTCAAATTCAGTGAATTGTCTCATGAAGTCCAATGCAGAGGCCACTTTTTGCTCAATACGCCATTATCTTATTCATGTCTTGTGGTAGTTTATCTTTGGAGTAAAAGATGACAGTACAGGATTAACATTAGGCATTGGGCTTTTGTTCGGAGAGCCACATTTAAACTATTACCAATACTAAGTTCCAGTTATCGGACACAAACTTTGGTGAAGTGAAAAGAATCGTCTCATTAAATCCAATTACCAAGTCACTCACCGCTCACAATCTGAATCGTCTCATTGAATCCAATATCCAAAATTTCTTAGCATTAAAAATACACATCCATATGTGGATTCTTTTAATCAATAGATGCTAGTACAAGAATATTTATGTTAGGTTGCAGCATTAAAATAGGATGTCATTTCCCGACAAAGACATGTAACTTGTCTTCTAATTTCAACAGAAGTTATTCATGCATTTACCTAATTTGATTTTCTATGAAATTTAAAAATAAATTTAAAAATAAGGATGGTATCAGAGAAAATAAAATCAGTAGATACACACAAAGTAACAGGCAAAGAAAACATTCTATTTTCAGTCCACAACTACACTCACAGTGCACTGACCTGCAGGAAGATTCCCCTGTGACGAGGGAGGGGGGAGAGGGGCACGAAACACGCAAACCATTCTCACTTTCAGTTTTCGTATTTTCCTCTGTTGACACTCCGGAAGGGTTTTAATCATTCTAGAATGTTAAAAAACTAACTCAGAACCTATTTGAGAGCCCCTTTGCTCTTCAGTTTGTTTTATTTGCATAAGTACCGTCCTGTCTTGCAGACGGCTTGGAAGCGCGGCAGCCGGTATGAGAAATTGGTAAGCCACACACTGCTACCAACCAAACAACGCTAATAACCTAGTTCAAAACGATGTTTTGAATATTTCAAACGATGATAATTGTTGATCTAAGATAAACTTCCCCTGTGGGACACTTTGGAGATGTTCAATACGAAATTTGGGAACAATTGGTGTTGTAGTTGCTGAGAAACGTGAGCGTGTACGCTACAGACTCACAGACGGACAGACAGACTCACGACCAGTCACTTTTTGGTGCGCCCAAACACGGCATGGGCTTCGCTATCGCTCAGCCAAAAATTTGACACTACTCGAGATTACTTTCGCTTGTTTTGATGTGAGGCATGCTTTTAGAAGGCGTACAAGGACATTTGCTGCGAACTGAAGTGCTTGATTATTACTCAAAGCATATTATAAGGAATAGTTTCTATCAAAACCCCTAAATTGACAACACTATATTGAGTAAAGCTCTTAAACATAGCTGCAATGCTATTTTTCGTTCTTTCTTTATCCTTCTTAACGGTGGGGATGCATGTCCACAATCTTGAACCCACTACCTTAACATTATGCGGGAAATTGAAGAAAATAACCCTTCTTGTCCGGATTTACCCCACAGGTAGTGAAAACCTTTGATGTTCAATTGTAAGGAAACGGCGAGCCATACGACTACTCCCGAAACGCCAAAGTAAAGTCCAATGACCATATAATATGGCAAAATTTTAGTCATGGGACTGAACTTGACGGTAAGGTACGATAAGTACATGAAAATACGAGGTAAAGATGCAGCTTTCGCCTGTTTTTGATGGTACTCAAATTTCGTGAAGCGACCACAGCCAAACGGTTTGACCTCCTACCTTGGAGATTTGGAATTATCATTTTTAACTGATTATCTTCCTCTGTTAGGCGGGCTTTTGAGTTATCTTCACTCGAACCCAGTGAAAATCGAAGTGTCCGGAATTACCCCGTGTCCGGAATTACCCCACTCTCCCTTACACTGTTTAAAAAAAAATATTAAAATTCAGCCCACTTTTGTAAGACCTAGTGGTCTAATTTCTGAATTAAGACCAGAAGTGTGCAAAAGAAGAACCCTCGTATTAAATTTAAGACTTTTCGCAGTCTTAAAAGCAAATTCAGACCATCCAAACAAAAAGTCCAACAGGGGTGACTGAAAATTCAGACTAAGTACAAGACCATGTAGTTTGAATCGCCTTTTCACACTATTCTCCTGAAAAGGTGATAGATCTTAAATTTCGAACTGGTTGTGTATTTTGAGACCATGAGCCTGAAACGGGAGACGTATTGTTCTTAAATGTCAGACTGGTTGCCTCACTTGACCAAATTTAACCGCAATATTTGAGCGCTCGATACAAAATCTTAAATATTCACGAACAGCCCGAGTTGTCCGCAGTTTAACTGCCGCAACATTTTAAAACTTTTAGTTTTTGTATTTGCAAAATAAAGTAGGGCTGATATCAAGATTCCGTCTCTAAAGTTTGTCAAGAGTCATCAAAGAATACAGTCCATGCAAGACGACTCATATTTGTGCCAACCAGGAATGCAGGAAGTCTTTCTACGACAAAATTTTTTGTCGACTGAGCAAAGCTGTGAAGTTGAGCGTATAAGCCAACGACAGCTGATCATAAAGTTATTTCTTTCCAAATGATAAGGAAACTGCCCACTTAGCTTAAAGGTGTTCAACCTGTTGAATCTGAAACCTTCGATGCACATTTTTATCTGTTAACTTTGAAAATACTATTTTGGGCAAGTTTGGCCCTTCAATGATTTTATAAGTGCTCAACTAACTGAATGTATGTTCTGTATTTTTGAACTTATTGGGTATTTTTATCTATAAAGTCCCACATTTCTACAATATTATTTATTTTTATTTCTCAGTCCGGTATGTCTCCCACACTCCCAAGAAACACCAATATTAACTAATTAATTAATTAATTAAAACTAGTTCTCCAAGCCTCTGCCTCTGCCAGCGCCCCTAGCGGAAAAGTCAGAAAGCTGGGCGGCGCGGAGGGTATGAGAAATACTGAACCCGCCGCCTCCGCGGCTTGGGTAGGAAGTAGAATCTCGCGCTTGGCCCAACTTGCCTGCAGGATTTCTTTTTTTGCTTTTCTACCCTGGAGAGGCTATAGTTGGACGCAGCACCGTCGAATTCTTCGCTGAGGACTGCCGCTTCTGTGCCTTGTCTCATCGCCCTGGAAGTTGTGCACTTTCTTGAAACTGCCGCCTCTTCGTACAGTCCGTGTGCCCTTCTGGAAGCGTTTCAACAGCACATGCACCCCTTTCCTCGTATCTATCTTAATGCATGCGTGGAATTATATTGAAGCTTAGTTGTACGCTTCAAGAAGGGCGTAAAGTCTTGAAGCGAAGTTCTACGCTTTATTTTTATTACCAGTGTACCGGCGCCTGAGTGCCCTATTCGTTCGTTGGCCGATGCCACCACAAGAGGTCCTCACTTTGGGAGAACCTACACAAGACTGCGAGTTGGAGCCCCTCACTTGAACCTTAATACACGAGTTCTCTCACAGTTTGTGACGGGATCCATTCCTTAAATTCAAGATTATCCACTAAACGGGAGAAGGAAAGGGTCCACTTCAAATAAATGCAGGGCTGTCAGTTTGCAATACTTCTACTTCAAATTTTTACAATAAAATCGAGTTTGCTAGTCTCACGACTGATCGAATGACACATGTTAAACTAAACATCTTCTCTGTCGTTGAGTCACAGGACCCTTAGACGTAATCATTGACTCGCTACATAAGGGTCTGCGCCTCCACTGCTTGGTCTCCAAGGCTCGCTCGTAAAACCTGAGCATACTTGAACACGGCGTTTGCAATTTTCGACAAGGTGTCGAGCCGCATAGCCCCGAAGTACTGGAACCGCACCTGCAACACCACTGCAACTTTCAGGCTAGGGTCAGGGCGGGGTAGAACTGGACGTTTTTCAATCTTGTCAAGCCGAGTCTGCGCCGTTTACATCTTCTTCTGATCCTGCGTGTGTTCTTGTGGTCACTAGTCAAGAAACACTTTTGAATGTGCCAACATATCTGCTGTTCATTGGCCCTGTCTTTTGGACTCTAGTGCCTCTCTTATCAAGGAAAAGCCATTGGGTCATGCGGGATCATGACAATTTAATTTTAAAAGGATTAAATGAACCACATGACCACATTAATCTGCACCCGGACCACCAACTTCACTCCTGCCTCTGCATTTTCAACTCCGTCAGAGGTATGTTGAACTTTGCCAAAGGCGCACTGTTAAAAAAAGTCTGAAAATTCAGACCAATTTTTTCAGACCTAGTGGTCTGAATCTGAAATTCAGACTTGAGTCAGAATTTTCAGACAGTTGGTCTTAATTTTACACCTTGTGGTCTGAAAAATGAGTTTCGGACTCAAGAGTCTGAATATTTGGATGGCGCGGCATAAATTTTCGGCGTCGGGGTCTTAAAACAGTCATTTGTAGTAGAAGGTCTGAATTTTCATCCTGCGCAGTCTGAAATTGACGCTTTATTTTCTGATAAAAGGCATGACTGCGTTTCAGGTGCTATAGACCCTGAATTGCTAGAGCAGTAGTAAATAGACTTTTGCTCAGCTAAGCGAACGGCCGTCTAGTGTTGAGTTTAAAATCAGCCTGCACTCCGCTGGTAGCTGCAGGATGCGACATGTTTGCCCTGGTTCCGGCATGGACCGAAGCCCTGGTCACCCGAGCCGAGCCGCTCCGGCGGCGGCCAGCCGAGCCAGGCACACCGAGCCGAGCCGGGGCGTTCGGAAAATCACCGCTGACCGGCGTGCCGGCCGAAGCCTACCTGCGCGGGGCGGGGGGAGAGGAGGGGGCCCTTAATCCCTCGGCCACTCGGGATTTCTGGACAGAATGCGTCAGTTTTAGCTTGTCTCCAGAGCAGTGCACATCGCATCCGAATACAAGTCCGCGTCGCGTGTCATCTTTCTTGTGACGCTCCGTCGTGAAGCAACGTTTTATGTGTTACATCGGCGCTCAGCACAGTGTGTACAGTGCCGTTTTGCCTTCGCCTTTCCGTGCTCCGAAATTGCTTCTGGGTGCGTGCAGTCACCACTCTGAAGCATCCGAAATCCGCGGCCAGCAGGCTGTGAAAGTGGGGTAGCCCTATACTGATATTGCGTCTTCCAAACTAAAGGGACGGGTGATGAGCGAGTGGGTGGCGTTTTGGAAATTTGTCACTCCTCTTTCATCCTCGTCCCCAAAGTATTTTCATCGTGCCGAAAAAGTTTCCACAAAGTGTGCATCTGGATCCAACATGCTGCTTTCCAGTGTTTACAGCTGCATCTTCTGGAGTCTTACATTCGAGGACTAGTTTTTTTTTTTGGGAAGCTCTCTCAGCAAAATATCATATCTAGTTAAAGTTTTGCGCAACTTTGGGTGCTACATTTAACAACAAGAGCTGTTTTACAACTGCTCTATTTAGTGCATGCATTCCATGTTTCTCAGCAATTTAAAACATGCATCCCCAAAACATAATATGCATCCTGACAAAAGTGGTAATTTTATTACCTGGGCGGCTTAGTATTCAAACCCGCGAGGTGAAAAATTCAGACTGCCATTAGTCCGAAAATTCAGACTACCTGGTAGTCGTAAAATTCTAAGTACTTGCTAGTCTGAAAATTCAGACGACAGGTGGTCCAAAAATTCAGAGTGTCCGGGGGTCTGAAAATTCAGACCACTGGGTTTCAAAATTGACTTCATCCTAAAAAGTCTGAAAATTTCGACTTTTTTTTTAACAGTGCGACCAAGCCGCCCAGTTCCTGGGCAGCAAGGGCAGCCAGCTCTTTTACATGTAGCTGTGGCACTGGTTCTGCTGGGGCCCATGCGCCAGTTGCTGAATGATTTGGGGACCCTCAGGCGACAAAGGTGCCCAGAAACTGGGCGACTTGGCACACTAAAAACTGGAGTGGGTGACAATGGCGCCCATACGGGGATTTTGGGATTTTCACCGCATCCACCTGTTTTCGGACCCACTGCGTGTCGAGCTGACCTGACTTGGCTTTTGCGTCAAAGCCAGTAGTAGGTTGAAATGACGTCGCTCAGCGGGCTGCCACGCCTCCCAAGGACACGAATAAGTCAGGCCGGTGCTGAAGGCCTCCCCTGCCTCCTCTTGCATTTCGGCAGCCAGACAGACCTGCAGAAAACCGCTCTTGTTGGATTCTTTCAACAAACTCACGGAATATCGCACAAAGTTTGAAACAAATCTGCCAAAGTGTCAGGCTCCTTAGCATTGTGTCACTTTCATTCCAATGGAAGTACTCGACCAAAATCTTACGAGAACCAAAATTTTAAACGTTCATACTAAATCTCCAAGTGTCCAAAGTCACTTTTTGTCAAGCTTACTCAATTATTTTAAAGAGTTTTAGTATAGAAATCATAAAATCTTAATCCTTCTACACCAAAAAAATGTTTTTTACAAAGTGCTTTTAACATGTATGAGCCTCTTAAACCTCGATCGAGATTCGAACCACAATGGATTGAACTACTTCACTGTACTTCAATTGATCCAAAGCCTTTCTCATGAGATCCAAGATGGCGTCGATGAGAGGGCGGCCCTTCAAATGTGAAGGTTGTTCGGAGTCAGTAAAACAGCTGGAGGAATGCACGTAGTGTGCCAAGTGCAAGAAAAGGATCCATAATAGCTGCCTGGACAAGATTGGGCTGAAAATTGTGAGTGGCAGTGCCCCGGAGTACTTGTGTAGCAAATGCAAACAGGTGGCCGGCATCCTAACCCCACTCTTGTCCAAAGTGACAGCTACCCCAGCAGCTCAGAAGTCACCCAAGTCATCCAATCCGAAACAGAAAATAAAACAGAAACCTCAAGAAGAGCCAGACATGGTCAGCAGAGAGATCCTACTAAAGATTCTCGACAATGTTGAAGAACTTAAGGCACAGGTCTCCACCCTCAACAAGGAAATTGTGGACCTGAAAGCTAGCAGACCTGTCACCATCCCAAATCAGAATGAACCTAAGAAGGATATGAAACCCAAGGAGCGACCTTACATGGACAACGTCAACACCAAAAAGGCCAGTAAAACACGGTATGCCAGAAACAACATCTATATGGTGGAAGGTAACCTCCTTGAAGCGATGGAGGAGCCAGGTTTCTCTGCAGTTCACTGCGTAGCACAAGACATGAGAATGGGAGCAGGCATAGCCCTCAAGCTCAAAGAAAAACTAAACATTGATACGGAACTTCTAAGGAAAAACTGCAAAGTAACCGACATAGTGGAGCTGAAGGTAGATGATGACTATCTGCTAAACCTCGTTAATAAGCAAGAATCCCACAAGTTACCGAACTGGAATGACTTCAAAAGCACGGTGCAAAAACTACCAGAGACCTGTAAGAGACTGGGCATCAACAAACTAGTCATGCCTAGAATAGGATGTGGGCTGGACGCACTCCACTGGCCTAGAGTCATGAAACTCCTGAAATCTGTGTTCAACAATGAAGACATAGAGGTATATGTGACGCACCTAGACAAGGACAAGGAACCAACATTCAGAAGGAGCAAGGACGGGAAAAAGAAGATAAAAATCGCTATAGCTAGGAAACCAACAACAGAAATTGTGGGCGACAGCCATGCCAAAGGACTGGCCCAAATCCTGAAGAAATCCCAGGACAAGCAATTCTATGTGGAGGCCAAGCCAGGAGCCAACACAAATCAAGCTACTCAACACCTGAACATCTTCTCATCCTACCTTTCACCCGATGACAACCTTGTCTCTCTCCTGGGCACAAATGACCCCTATCTGGAAGACAACGTTGAGGAGATGATAAAATGTGATGAAGCCAGAAAAGACATTATCTCACAAGGAAGGCACAGCAAAGTCACCTTCCTTACTGTCCCATACAGATATGACAAAGACCAGGTAAATGATGAGATTAAAAAGTACAATGGAAAAATCAGAGAAATGATCAGCTCAGAAGCACAGCAGCAAGGATTAGAAGAAAGAATCCAACTGGTCGACATAAACAGGGTCCTATCAAGAGAACACTACACCACACAAGGACTGCATCTCAACCAGAAAGGCAAGGAAGTACTGTGCCAACTCATAAATGAAGCGACAGAACATTTTGGGAAACTAGATACAAAGACCATTCTAGAAGACCAAGATACCAGCCTGGAGAGTGTTTTTGAGTAAGAAGACAAAGCCACAACAGGCCACTCGAGAGACCATCGACCCTGCCAAAGTCACCAGTCTCATCTCAAAGACACCACTGACGCATCTCAAAGGTAGCAGGAAAAATTGTGAACTCAAGATATTGCACCAAAATGTGAGATTTATCATAAACAAGAAAAATAGGATTCAATGTGCACTAAACGAACTCTCCCCAGACTTTTTCGTGGCAACTGAAACTGCAAACCTAGACGGTGAGCCAGCCAACACAATATTTTCAGACTACAAAATCGTGAGTAGCTACTGCAGAAAGGGTGGTAAGGGAAGGGGTGGTGGAGTGTCTATTTTTGTTAAGAGCAATAATGTTATTAAAACAGAAAGCCTAGATATCTCAGATTTCACAGAATCTCATGTATTAGAAGCCTGTGCTGTTAAATTTCAAGTAGCAAAAGAAAAAGTGAAATATGTGCTCATAGGAATATACAGACCTCCTCCCCTAAAAAACATTGACTCCTTCTTTGAAAAACTAAACAGCCTGTTACTTCTTAAGTGTGGACAGAATGAAACTGTAATCCTAGCAGGAGACTTTAATATAGATGTCTTATCTAAAGGTAAATGCAGCAGGGAATTTAAAAGTACTATGGACTGCTATAATTTTGATATCTGTTTCAATGATGTAACTAGGGTATTCAATGATAGTAAGTCCTGTATAGATAACATTTGTGTTAGAAACGGCAGACCGGAACTAGCAGAAATATTTGAAACTCATGTCTCTGACCATTATGCACAGTTACTCACTATGAGTACTGCTGCTAGCTGTGAAGCAAAAGAAACTTATCAGGTCAGAAGGCAGTGTAAGGAGGAAAACATTCAGCACCTGATGGCACTCTTGAGAAAAGAGGACTGGTTTGATGTTTTCTCCTCCCAAGATGCAAACAAGGCAGCTGAAAGATTCCTGGATACTGTTAACCATTGTTTCCAAGTTGCTTGTCATATGAAGAAATGTAAAAATTTCCATGGTAAGAAAGCTAAAAAGCCTCACTTGAAAGAATCAAAGGAAGCCAGAGAAATAAAGGATTTGCTGGACTTTCTAAATGACCTCAGGAGGAAAAATAAAAACAGTGACAAGGATAAAGAAACAGCTAGGATACTAAGAAGTAAATACCATTACTTACTAAATAAGGCCACTGTGGACAAGAATATGGAAACCATTGTGAACTCTGAAAATAGATCTAAGACTATCTGGAATATTGTGAACCAACAAAGAGAAGGTAAAACCAAAGAAAAGGCGGAGATTGTATTAGAATTAGATGGAGTGACTGTAACCAGACCAGAGGAGACGGCAACAGCCTTAAATGAATATTACATTGACCTCCCAAAAAATATTCTAAAAAATCAAGAGGCAGAAAACTTCAAGATGATCTCTAAAAAAAACAGGAGCTCAATGTTTCTGGACCCTGTCTCAGAAGAAGAAATTCTGAAGACAGTGAGCCTACTGAAAAATAAAGCCTCCTCTGGGCTGGACGAAATCTCAAACATTCTGTTGAAAAGAATCATATTTTTGATTGCTAAACCTCTGACCTATGTTATAAACCTGTCTTTCAGCCAAGGAGTTTTTCCTGATGTTCTCAAGTCTAGTAAGATAATCCCATTGTTTCAAAAGGGTGACAAAAAAAGAGCCGAAAACAACAGACCTGTGGCACTTACATCTAATATTGCTAAACTGTTTGAAAAACTCTTTGTAAATAGGCTGAACAAGTTTCTAGAAAAACATACAGTGCTGGTCAAGGAACAATACGGTTTTCAAAAAATAAGGACACCTCCGATGCCATAGCCCAAGCTATGGAAGTAGTAACAAAAGCTCTAGATCAAAAACTAAAAGTTATCGGAATCTTTATAGACATGTCCAAAGCTTTCGACTGTGTTGATCATAAAAAGTTACTCTCCATACTAGAGCACTATGGCATCAGAGGCGTGGCTCTGAGTTGGCTAAGTAGCTACCTCACTGATAGGAAGCAATGTGTTGAGATTGAAACTTTTAAGCAAGACTTAAACATGTACGAAAAAGTGAAATCCCTCTTTAAAACTGTCGAATACGGAGTTCCCCAAGGCTCAGTCCTCGGACCGATTCTCTTCTTGCTCCACATAAATGAACTAAAAATTTATATGTAACGAATCTCACAGATAAATGCCATCCGATCCTATTTGCAGATGATGCGAACCTTATCGTTACTGGAGATTCGTTAGAGGAGATGAAACAACTCACTACTGATCTAATCAAGGGGATTTCTACTTTTCTTAGGAGTTTGAATCTCATAGTAAACCTGTCAAAAACTGGCATATTGCTTTTTGAACTTAAGAAAACTGATGTAAAACTTGACATTACTGTTGATAGCCAGAGAGTTGAAAACCTTGCATGTACAAAGTTTCTGGGGGTGACAGTCGATAGAAACCTAAAATGGACAGGGCATCTGGAGGAGCTCCTGGGAAAAACGCGAAAGGGTGTGTATGTGATGAGACAAATCTCCCAGACTGTGAATGATAGAACTCTCATTATAGTTTACTGTGCTTTCATCTACTCCCATCTAGCCTACGGCATTATTAACTGGGGTGGGGCGGAAAAATCCATTATGAATAAAATTTTCAGCGCTCAAAAAAATGCTATTAGAGTGTTAGAAAATCTGCCCCCCAGAAGTTCATGTAAGGGATTGTTCGTTAAAAATAATTTGCTCACAGTTTTTGGAATCTATATCTATAAATGTATTCTACATGTTGTTAAGAACTTCTCCTCACTAACTATAAGAAATGAGGTCCACTGTTATCACACCAGAAATAGCTCTAACATCCATGTGGATTTTTTTAGATCCAGAGCACATAGAAATAACCCACTCTATATGGGCTCGCAATTTTATAATTCTCTTCCTGATGAGATAAAAGAGCTTAGAGGCAATATGAACGTATTCAAAATACACCTTAAAAAGTTCCTAATTAATAAGGAGTTGTACTGTCTGGAAGATGTGTTTAAATACTGATTGTGGTTGATATGGCGCAATGTGCGTTTCTCTTATGACTTTTGTAATAATTTTTCTCAATGTGTGTCCCTTGACATTCAATGTACAAATTCTTACAGCAAATGATAAATAAATAAATAAATAAATAAATAAATAAATAAATAAATAAATAAATACTTGGAAGGTATTAAATTACATACTTACAATTTGGTTTTGTACATCATTTTACACAGGACTTTAGTCAAACTTACTAAGAAAGTAGTAAGTAAATAGTTGTAAATAATTGTTGCTTATATGAATACGTAATTAATGAGAAAATGTCAGTAACGTGCTGAGAGTGCATGCGTAAGCTTCTACATGTCATTATGAACTTTCACTTAGACATGTTTAATATTTCATAAGTGTCTGGCATAAGGTGTCAGTGTGTGCACGTTTGGATGCAAGCCACCCACTTCGGTGACTCACCATGCCGATGTACGAAAAGACGGTGACGAGAATGACCACGTTGTTGACGTCCTGGACGCCCATGGAGATGCGAAAGGCGCCGATGACCCCAAGAAGGAGCATCAATCGCACGACGACGGACAAGTCATTCACGAAAAAATCCTGCACGGTTCAAAAATGAGAAAGCAAACAAGGAGAGAACCGGAATTTAGCATAAGCCTACATTCGTTGTTTTGTTCGATTTTTCTAGGGGCGATAAATAGACCTTTCCGGGCTAAGCAACTTGTTCAGTATACTCGGATCTTTGCGCCGCCACACTTTAAGATCCAGCTCTTTTGTGGCGAAACGGGATTGAACTCTGTGTCTACTGGAGTATCAACAACAACGAGTTTAGTGCCATTTCGCTGCAAATAGGTTGGGTCTTACAGTGTGGCGGCGCAAAGATTGGGTTATTGCACAAGAAGCTTAGCCCGGAAAGGTCTATTGCTATCTTAATCGGAGTTCGCAGTGCAAGTTCCTTTATGCGCCCACAGCCAACCCACGGCAAAGGGTTTTGAGTTTCAAAACCAGAAGGAAGCAATTAAATCGTTCGAACGAATGTGACATCGTGTTCAAACGAACGTGCACTCTTAAAAGCCTGCGAAGCATTTGCTTCATAACAACGAAGAAAATGAAGGCGTTGTAGAATTGATTTGTATCAAGTGCTTCGTATTGCGAAGGATTTTGCTTCACGAAGCATTTCTCCGTAGATTTTACAATGCCTTCATTTTCTTCGCATTACGAAGCGATTTTTTGTGGAGTTTTTACTGTGTGTCGACCCAGGAACGTGAGCCACGTTACGTGACGTCACATTGAAACGAACGGGATATAATGTCACGTTCGTTTGAGCATAGTGTCACATTCGTTTGGATGTGAACAAGCGAATTTTGGGCGGACTCACATCCAACCGAAATGCGAGACAATGCTCAAACGAACGTGACGTTTTGTCCCGTTCGTTTCAACGTGATGTCACGTTCCTGGGATGAGAATGGGCACATTCGTCAGTAACAGCGAAGCGCTGTTTATTAGGCCCCTGACGTATGAGTCTGAACAACTTCAGACAGTTCATCTCCGCACCTGCACATGATTGATGCCAACCACGAGCTGCTGGTGCAACTTGACCGTGTCCACGAGTCGGGCCCACGTCGTCGTTTTCGCCACGCGCTCGGAGAGAAGATACAAGGCACAGTGCATGTCAAGGGACGCCATCCAGTGCACGCCACTCAGCATCTGACAACGGAACCGATGTACACACTCAACGAACAATTTGGGTGAGACGTCAGATTTCTGTGCTCATGAGCTGTTAGGTCGGCTTCCGTATTTAAAAACAATGCTTAGGTATAAGGGAGTATGGGGTGATTTGAAACAGGGGCGATTCGTAACAAATGCGTTTATTAATTTAAGTGGAGGGAGCAGAGGAAAATCTGAGTATGGCCCCTCTTTCGCTTCAAGTACAGGGTCCCTCAACAATCGAAGCGGATGTGATCGGTGCTCAGGTATAGTTTTGGAGGGCGTCTGAAATATAGGGTACACCGAAAACAGGCAAATTTTTATTTTGGGTTTGGAAAGTTTCTGTCTGAGGCTCCCCAGGATGAATCACCATCGAAGTACCTTTGGGGGCCTTGAAGCGTGACCCCTTTACAATGAAACCACGTGGCAAAAGGGTTGCTTTCACTTTGTCCAGTGATAGTTGGGGACGATTTCTTGCGAAACAGGCTTTTGGGGGTGATTCGTAACAGACCCGTATAAAAACAAGAATTTAAGTAGTTTTTGCAAAAATGCTTGAATTATTTCTCGAATCATCTGCTGCCTAATTCTAATACATTTACACAGCTCAAAATGCATTTTAAAGCGAGTTATTCTATTCTGTCCTCCAAAATTGAAAAAAGTGAGGTTAGGGTTGACATAGCCGGTCAGTTAATGCTGAGGCGGTCAACGGCAGCTTGTAATGTAGATTTTAAGGCGTCTGCAGGACATCCGAAGAACAACTGCTGGAGGAGATGACATTCCCGATGATGTTTCATTTAATGTGTAGGATGTTATGAAAGGCCCGATGGCTGTTACAAATCACCCCATGCTGGGGCGATTCGTAACAGCATGCAAGGGTTTGGAAAGCGTCTTAGATTTCAAAGATTACGGATTCCAGATTGATCCAACGGAGCTGCACAGTCTAGATGAAGGGCCAGACTGCTCAACTGGCACAAGTTTGACACCGATATGCAGAATGTTCCTAATTTTGTATAGAGAATTCCAAAATCTGTTACAAATCGCCCCATACTCACATATTCCTTTGCTCATGTTTAACGAAATTCGTGTACAAAACCATTCGGTACGAAAGGTTCATCTGCGTAAGTGTGTGCGTAAGGCATCCACCAAATAATATCATGGAGGCGTACGAAGCATATCAAACAATGGTTTCCGCAAATTTGAGCGAAGTCTCCCTAACTTAGGGGGAATAGTAAGGGAGAGTGGGGCAATTTGTAACAGATTTCGGAATTCTCTATACAAATAAAGAATATTCTGCATATCGGTATCAAATTTGTGCCAGGTGAGCAGTCTGGCCCTTTATCTACACTATACATCTCCATTGGATCAATCTGGAGTCCGTAATCTTTGAAATCCGAGACGCTTTTCAAACCCTTGCATGCTGTTACGAATCGCCCCAGCATGGGGTGATTTGTAACAGCCATGGGGCTTTACATAACACCCAACACATTAAATGTAACTTCGTCGGGAATGTTATCTCCTTCAGCAGCTGTTCTTCCGATGTTCTGCAGACGCCTTGAAATCTACATTACAAGCTGCCGTTGACCGCCTCAGCATTAACTGGTCCGCTATGTCAACCATAACCTCACTTTTTTTCAATTTCGGAGGATAGACTAGAATAACTCGCTTTAAAAAGCATTTTGTGTTGTGTAAATGTATTGGAATAAGGCAGCAGATATTTCGAGAAATAATTCAAGCATTTAAGGGGGCACACCAGTGAAAATCGCCAAATTTTGGCCTTCTTTTTTATTTTATCTTATTTTTCTCTTGTTCATCTCGAGTCGAACGCCGTAAACCCCTCCCGTAAATTTCAATTACTTTGGCGTGTGCACGTATTTGAAGTTCTTAAAAAGGTAACTATTTTTGCATATTTTACACCAATTGGTAACGCTCAGGTGTTTTACTTGAAGTTCAATGACAAAACCCTTGAACCACCCAAACGCAGATTGAAAAAGGAATATTTTGGCGCAAACCAAACTCAAATATGTCATAAACTGCGTCCGTAATCGGGAAAAATGCGTGTAAATCGTATTCTCACTTCAAACGTCATTTTCTCAAAACACCAATTTTGGACCTGGTGCCCAGGCTCACGCCCGCTCACGCCCGCAAAAATTGAGATAATTGAACGCGGTTTGCGGCAAAATGTTCCTTTTACGTTCCTTTATCGTGTGAACCTCGGATATTGCCACCGCCCAAACGGATCGCTAGCAGCAGTCATTAGAAAGTAAACATTTGGTTTATTTTTCATTCTATTTTTTTGTCTTGTCCAAAATGGTGTTTTAGATGAGTTCATTGACATGCCCGTGGTTCACATGATAGCCACATGTGTCCTGATGAGAAATTTTCAAACCGCGTGTTTCTTACTCAATTGAGAGCGGCGCAATCTTGGGCACCATGACAACATGTCGTCGAAATTGGATACTGACTCCCAGCCCCCCTTTCCATCACCGCCAGTTGCTACAGTGACGTTTTTTGTTTAATTTAATATCTTCTTAAGTTAAAACCACAATTTCAAGCCAGTAGGTTTGTTACTTTTCACAGAATGACTGTTTTACGAAACCTCCTGCATTTTCACTGGTGTGCCCCCTTAATTGCATAATCTACATAAATTCTTTTTTTTTTATACGGGTCTGTTACGAATCACCCCAAATGCCTGTTACGCAAGAAGTACGTCCCTAACCATCACTGGACAAAGTTAAGGCAACTTATGCCACGTGGTTACATTGTAACGGGGTCACGCTTTAAAGGCCCCAACGGTGCTTCGATGTTGATTCATACTTGGGGAGCCTCAGACAGAAGCTTCCTTGTACTCAAAATATAAGATTTGCCTGATTTCCGAGGGGTGAATCACTTGTGTACTCATGTGTACAAATTGGCCCGTACTCAGTGTACTCACAAGTTTAAAAAGAGCAAAATTGGCTAATTTTTTACACAATTTGGCGAAGTGAGTCGTCTATCTAAACCGCTAAATAAAGCCAAACAACGTTAAAAAATGTGAAATTTCCGAGTATTAGAAGGTGTACTCACCCGTACTCATGTACTCATATGTACACCAGGACGCTGAGTGATTCACCCCTCGCTGTTTTCGGTGTACTCTATATTTCAGACGCCCTCCAAAATTATACCTGAGCACCGATCACATCCGCTTCGATTGTTTAAGGACCCTCTACTGGAAGCGAAAGAGGGGCCATACTCAGATTTTCCCTTGCTCCCTCCACTAAAATTAAAACACGCATTTGTCACGAATCGCCCCTGTTACGAATCGCTCCACTCTCCCTTACACTTCGCAAGGTTTAAAAAATTGTGTGTTTACGAAAATAATTTGCGGGTAGAGGAGGTGAGGTACGCCAAAACTGACTATAGGACCATATTTAACTTTCATTTCGGACCCAAATCACTCGTATGGAGCGCAGCTGGAGGCAGCACTTACGATTTCCATGAATTTTGCGAAAGCACTCTGCAAACTCAAGTGTGTGCGGTGCCAGGCATGCACTTCTTGATGCATGCCTGCAAGCACACACTTCCTGGTGCATGCCTCGCAGGCACACACTTCTTTTCTGCATGCCTGGCAGGCACACGCTTGTATGCATGCTTAAGGGGGGTTCTTGAAAAATTTTCCCTTTTCCCAAATGGACCCAGTTGTAAAAATTTGGCAGTGGTGTAATTTACAATTGCCCAACATTTAATGAGCCCCATCTCCCACTTGGAGGTTTCCCTTGGCCATCCTCGGGACATAAAAACTATCTGACAATCACCCGGGGGCCAAATAGGGGCAAACCAAGAAAATGGGACAACCATTTTTTTTTTGCTTTTCGAAAAATTTTCTAACCGAAATTCCTTTTCTGATATTTTTTGACATCTGTTAAACAACTTGTTTTTAATCCCGGGTCAAAAAGAGGTTTCTATGGGTAAAACAAAAATGTTACTTTACGGGGAATTTTTGGACATAAAACGTCCCCAGGGGGGGGGTATGTCCAACATTTCAATTTTGAATTTTTTTGGAAGTAAGGCTCTTTGAAAGTTGAAGAGAATCCTAACAACGATAATCCCCAATTGTTCGCGGTTTCTTTGTAAACCGAATTTTTTAACAATGGGGCAAAGTACCTTTTCATACAGTTTTATGTGCAGTTCCTTAGTTAAGACGTTTTGCGATTTAATTTTTTTCATTGAATAAGTTGCCCTTGGGGAATGGCGAAGCTGCCGGTTTCAAATTTGCGTTTTGAGCCCCGTATTTCCAACCGTAATCGACAACTCTTTCCCATTGCATGATGTTATCTAGAACTTGGAGGGTTTGTTTCCTTTCGCGAAAAAAGATGGCCCACCCAAAACTAATCATCGGCAAAAATTAAAAAAATAGGGTTTTTTGTATTCCCCCCATTTCCTAAATGCTTATGGTAAAAATTGACTTCAAGATGTATGCCCCCTATTATTTTCATTCAACCCTTAGAATTTTCTTAATCATGAAAAATGTTTTTTCCAGGGGGTTCCAAATTAAAAAACACGGGGTAATTTCGGACACTGCTTCGGACCCTCCACTGTAAAAACGGTGAGGTGCAGATAATTGAAATAAGCGCCAAAACGAAGCTAAAGGTGGGTAGATGATAAATTTTAACCCTCAAGCCCATGACATCACCACAACTTTCATAATTTCAAAAAAACCTATCAAAAGTGTCCGAAGTTACCCCGTTTCACGGTACTAATAATTATTCCGAAAAAATTTCCCTTTCCCACCAGAATGACATTCGGTCGGAAAGCGGGTACTCCCCACCATTTCCCCACCGTTCCCCGCTTGTTGGCCCCCAGGCGAGGGGTTTGTAGGCCCCCAGACGAGAGGGGACATGCGGGGAACGGTGGTGAAGTGGTGGGGGGAACCCAATTTCCGACCCAATGTGTTTAGATGGTCCACACCAAATTTGGACCCTTTAGGTCCCACCGTTTGGTCCAAATCACGCAAACCAACAAACTGTGTATTTTTTGCAGCGAAATTCGACGAACTCGCAATTGCTGCCTAAGACACCTATCAAAATCTGTGATTTTGATCGTTAGTTACAGTATGAAAAGATCCCGTGATCAGTTTTGACGCCCTGTATGTCATGCGTCCGCAAAAAATTTGCGCCAACACAGTATTTGTTGACCTTGCGTAGTATTCTACCCTCTTAAATGGCTATTTAAACAATATAGACGATGCGAGTGTAAAGAAAACGGGAAGAAACCATTTGTTGTGGTGATCAACTTTGTCCGATAGGTAAAATTCGATAGCTGAAATCGAAAAGTCGAAACCCACAGCCGGTTGCTACGACCGGACCCTTGTATGAGGATAGTATGCTGGGGTTTGTTGTTTAGCCAACTTAGCCTAGCCAATTTAGCCATCAAATGTTGATCTCACCACAGCAAATGATATTTTTTCGTGAAGGGGCTATACACTTTCAGATTCGTATTGACTTTTTTCTCTCCATAATTGCAATAATCGAGAGAAGACTTTCTGTTTTCTGTCCTTTGCTTACGTAGTTTTTTGAGCAGCAATATTATGTAGTATTTCCTTTGAAACCATGTACAATATAAATTGTAATCAATTATTTACTACTTTTAAAGTCAATAGCGTATTTACTCTGTCAATAGCAAACTGACTTAAAGTCAATATAACCAGGGTTGGCAAACTTAACATAACAAATATAATAACATAATGAGACTAACTATAGAAAAGGCCGAACCACTATTTCATATTGGTACTGTGATTATCATATGTCAATTTTTTGCAGTAAATAACGTTTTTGACTTATCAAAATTAGTTTCGATAGTTCGAATAACGATATTACGATTACCAAACCACAATATCATATTAGTTCTGCCGGTATCATATGTCAATTTGTTGCAGTCAGTAACGTTTTTAACTTATCAAAACTAGTTAAGATTATTCTGATAACGTTATTACGAAATGCTATTCTGATTTTGCGAGTAAGAATTACGTTATTCGCTCTATGAAAAGTAGAAAATTTACTTTGAAAATGATATTGCGGAAATATGGTTATTGTCTTTCATCGAACAGTAGATTATTCAGTAATTCTGCAAGAATTCGGTTATATACCATTGCGTGAATTTAATGCAAACCTATGCAAAATAGCAATTTCCGGAAATGTTGCCGTTTATCGAATTTGAAAAGTGGTAACACAGAAATAGTAGTGAAGACCAGGAAAGGCGTGAGTTCAGTCCTGCGTCTGTCCCGTAACGAATGTATGACTCAACATCGGCAAGCCAAGACCCCTTGGGCTTAGGGTTCAGGCCCAAAATTTTTGCACTATAGGTCATTGCCCGTGTCTGGTATACCGGCGACCACGCCCTCAGTTAAGCGCGCTACCAAAGAGTTGCAATCTGTCTTCCTATCCACTCCTGTGATGTGTTATGTCAGGGACAGGACGCAGAAGCTAGACCTAGCCCATAACTTTTGAAAACTCAGTTTTTATCATTTCACTTCTGCGCCTCAAAATATGTGCAAAAAATCCTTTACTGTTTTATCTCTCAAACTAATTAATGCTGGGAGCATTTAAATCAAAAGGATGAGTAGCGCGTCAATGCACAGACACTGTTCGTTTGTGTTATCCAAGGGGTGTTTGTCTGAAAGCGGTTATGTGTGCATTCTGCATCATGAATGAAGAAATCCAATCAACCATACTCCTGGTAAGTTTGTTTACTTGAAAGATTTATTTTTTCTAGAAACACGTTTATCTTTGGATACAAAACTATGCAACACCCCCAAACAAATATTTGCGTCTTACTGATAAAGGGAAAACGCACATCATGAAGTGAGTCAAAGTCAACAAAATAATATAATTACAGTCTTTTACCAATAAATATAGAAATAACAAACAAAAAATAACAAAGCCTCAGTACAATTTGTTGACTAGGAAGATATTGATAAATCTTACATTTTAAATAGAGTAAACCAGTCAACTACATTCAATAATGTGTTGTTTACATGTAACATTTTTACCATTCTAGTAACACAATCTAGGAACAAATATTCATCAGAAAGTCTTTCTAATCTAGGGACTATCACATCACATGGGCTGAATGTGAGTCAAAATAAACAAAATAATTGAACTTAAGTCCATGACAAATAAAAAAAATCTAAACAACAAATAACATAGCATCAAGACCATTAGTTGACTAGGAAAAAGTTTGGAAGTCTTGTCTTGTAAATAAAGAAAATCAACGAGTTCATTCAACAGGAAGTTGGTTTTCATTTTTCTTACATTGCGACATTTTTTACGTTGCCTCACCTAAAATTTGTTTTACCAACTCACTTTCTGCAATTTTGTGTAGCAGATCTGCATTGCAGTGAAGAATCATCATATCGTCGACGTGTTGCGATGATAATCTGAAGCGCAGTGGGTTCAGTATGAATTTCAGAGTTGAGAAAATTCGTTCTACTGCCACTTGTGTTGCTGGTTGGGCTAGAACGATAAAAGCCAACTCAGACAGGATTGGATGATGTACTCTCTTGTTGTGCCAGTACATCAAAACATCTTCTTTTTCAGCAAGTGGAGGAGTTTCAACCAGGTAAGTATCTAGTAATTGTAGAATTTTCAGAGCAGGTTGGTTGCTTCTCTTAGGATCCATGTTCTTGACCTTTTCTTTGTTCCTCCTTTTCAGATCTTTGGCAAAAGTGGATTCTTCATCACTGTCATCTTCTGTTGATACTTCTTGAGAGACAACCGTTGAAGAGCTCTCTTCGCTACCATCCTCATCAGTTTCTCTCTCAGTTTCTCCCCTGAGATGACAGAGTAGTGTTCCGCATCGGGCGGGTCGTACGATTTTGCACCGCCCGATGGCGCTGACAGTCGACCATCCGGTGAGCAGTCGGACGTCGCGGCTCGATTCTTGGCTACTTGCGCTACAGCACCTGTCACGGTTTGTGTCACATGCAGGGCGAGATGCTCCGAGCCAATAAGCCGTGTCTTCGGCGGCATTCGAGCACTTCGAGCGATGACACGTCGCGGTGCAGCGCTGCGGTCGAATCACAGACAGATGCGAACACTACAGAGCCTTCGCCATACTTGCACCAGGTGCGTCTTGGCTTCTTGGACATCAGAAGGGTCGAGCAATGTAAAATAGCGTGGGTCCATGAGCAAAGCAGCTTTGAAGCCTGGGTACCCAACAGGCTCGACAGCTTTTCCCCCTGGGCTTGGTTCTTATACATTTCGGATTGTTTCCGTTTTTCCATTGCGCAACAGAGGGCTTCTGCTAATGGGTGCTTCAATTTTGTCAGTTTGTCATAGCAGGTAGACCAGATGCGGAAGAAATCTCCCAACAGAATGGATTTGCCTTGCAACTTGATAGACGCTTTTCTTGCTGGCCGCAGACATTTTATCAGCTCTTCCACTTTGCTCCAGTCATTGGCACTGAGTCCATACTGCTGCTGATCTGCCTTTGAAAAGGATTTCTGAGAGAATTCTTTGAGACCAAGAACTGACTCACACATATCAAAGGACGATCCCCAGCGAGTAACAACATCCAACTTGGGCAAGGTAAGGTCCTGCTTCTTTAGCTCGCGCACCATAGTAGGTGTTCTCAGGAACTTGGCCAAATCTCGCACTTTCGTCAGCAGAGCTTTCACTTCAGGAGTTTCCTTGATGGCATCATCGACAGCGAGCTGAAGTGTGTGGGCGCCACACCGCGAACTTTGGATGCTGGTGCTGTCCTCAGCAATTAACTCGATGGATGGCCAGTCTTCATCGTCATCCTCTTCAGCCCACTGTCTAAGATCTTCATCCTCTTCATCATACTGCAAGCTTTCAAGTTTTGCATAGAGCTCTTTCGCAGCCTTATCAAAAAGGCGTGCCATCAGCAAGTAATTCGCTGCGTTATCACATGTAATAGAAAACAGGTTTTGAACCATTATTGAGAACCTATCAAGAGCACGAGTAACCTCAGTTTTTATCAATGGTGCACTGTTCTTAATGAATAATTCTTCAACAGCTAGAGTCCGCACTGTCAGTTTACCAGCGTCAACAAATTGAGCAGTGATGCCCAAAAAGTGACGGTGTTTTCTTGTGCATCCATCTAACTTTAGGCTGATGAGCTTCCCCTTCACTTCATCAGCAATTATTTCTCTCACTTTATTGGCGTACTCAGGTATAAGACCAGGAATGTTTCTCCGATTGATGGTAACCCTGCGAAAAAAATTAAGAAAATTAATAAAAATTTCAAAAAGAAAACCATTTAACTGTTATTTGCGTGCAGAGGACAAGTTAAACACTCTGTTACATGCAGGATTCCAGCGTGATTCTCAGGGACCAAAGAATAAATGGAACTAGCGTAAAAAAATGGCACTTACAAATCAGAGCCTTGCATATGTGATGTTAGCCATATGTTTCAATGTTGGCAATGACTACCTCACTAACAACCCCATTATTAAAATAATATACAAATCCTATACACGGCATGGTAAAAAGAAATAAATTGTTTGGGGAAAAGGGGTCAATAATGTGGCTCTCACAACTTTGATTTGAAGATTTACAAAAAAAAAATGCAAGTCGATTGGTGGAATCCTGCTTGCAGCGGTACCTGGTGCTTTACTTGTACTCTGAACACTATTCTTTTGAACTAGCACATTGCTCCTCATTTTACATCCCACTTACTTCTCACTTGCAGGCAAAGCATCCAGATAGGGCCTTACAATGCTCTGGAAAGCCGGAGAGTCCAGCAGTTTGAAGGAAGCCCCTTGTTCCGCCACTAAAAGTAAACAGTAAAGCTGGAGTGCCTTTCCAGACATCTTCACTCCATTCAGGACAATATGCTTAGCCTTCCTGATGGGGGTCTTCACTGTATTCTTTTTGTTCTTCGATATATTCTCAGCTCTATCCTTGTGCATACTACTCAAGTGTTTGAACATGTTTCCACTATGACGATTCTGTAAAAAAAAAGACAATGTGCATATTATTACTTCAGAAGTAACTATTGAAGTAGCCCGACGTAGCGTAGCCTTGGCGCGGGCGCACTGTCACCCCTGGCACGCCGTCGTCGGCCCCCGCGGAACGGCGTCGACGACCCACGCGACACGCCATCGTTGCCCCCCCCCCCCCCCCAAGGCCGCCTCTTGATCTGCCACTGTCCAAGCGTGGCGTCACGTCCCCCCGGCGCGCGCCGCCGTCGCCCCGGCACGGTGACGAAGCCCCCCGCCCCTCGGCACGCCGCTGTCGCCCCCCGCACGGCGTTCACGCCCCGCGGCGCGACGTCGTCGCCCCTGGCACGGCGTTGACGCCCCCTGCGGCGCACCGTCGTCGCCCCCGGAATGGCGTCCAAGCCCCCCGCGGCGTGCCGTCGTCGCCCCTGGCATGGCGTTGACGCCCCTCGCGGCGCGGCGCCGTCGCCCCCGGCACGGCGTCCAAGCCCCAAGCAGCGCCCGTCGTCGCCCCCGGCACGGCGTCTTCGCCCCTGGCACGGCGTTGACGCCCCCTCGCGGCGCGGCGCCGTCGCCCCCGGCACGGCGTCCAAGCCCCAAGCGGCGCCCCGTCGCCCCCGGCACGGCGTCCAAGCCCCAAGCGGCGCCCCGTCCGTCGCCCCCGGCATGGCGTCCAACCCCCCGCGGCGTGCCGTCGTCGCCCCTGGCACGGCGTCCAAGCCCCAAGCGGCGCCCCGTCGTCGCCCCCGGCATGGCGTCCAAGCCCCCCGCGGCGTGCCGTCGTCGCCCCTGGCACGGCGTCCAAGCCCCAAGCGGCGCCCCGTCGTCGCCCCCGGCACGGCGACTTCGCCCGAGGGGTCCACCACTCGGAGAATCATGTGTACATCGTGTCCGGGAATCATCCGGAAATCGTCCGGGAATCATGGGAATCTCAGTAATCTTTCGGGAATCATGGAAATCGCGGGAATCACTTCCGAATCACGGGAATCTCGCGGGAATCATCCGAAAATCGTAGGAATCGCATAGAAATCTCTTCGGAATCATGAGGAATCTCTTGCAAATCATGGAAATCTTCTGCAAATCGTGGAAATCTTGGGAATCATAGGCATAGGAATCAAGAAAGTGTCGCGAAAATCGTGTGAAAAACCGCCCACACTGCGAGAAAAAACTACAGGGAATCCTGTTAAATTTTTCACAGCGTCGCTCTGTACTTAAGACCACAGTGATCTCCGTCTTTTATAAGACGGAGCTCACTGTTGTTTTTAGTGTTAATCTCTCTGTTGTCCGAGCAGCCAATGCCTCATCGGGACGGCATGGTCAAAGCCTCATAGGTCACCGTTGGGTCCCCGAGGACGTCGACGGGCACCTCACAGGGTCCCCGATGACGATGCGAGCATTTTAGGCCTAGGTTCCGACCATTCGTTGAAAAGGTCTCATCAAGATCTACTCGAATCAAGATAAACAAATTTCTTGGTCAACCCCTTTTTTCAAGATCCAGTTGACCAATCAGGATCTTGAAAAGAGGGGGTTGATCAAGAATTTTTTTTTATTCTTGATTCGAGTAGATCTTGATGAGACCTTTTCAACGAATGGTCGGAACCTACCGTGAAACGGGGTAATTTCGGACACTCGGTGTAATTTCGGACAACTCTGCCCG